TTTCCAGAAGCGAGTTCATCATCATTGTTTGGACAATAAAGCAAGTTAAAACAAGTAAAGACGGAATCAGGTTGATTTGGACAGAAGGGTTAGAGTTGCCCCTAGAGCAATTTTATGGTTTGTGATGCCCTAAAATTAATGCCTTCCTTAGCTGTAAGTCTTAATTATATATTCATTATTCTTTAATTCATTCTTTCGGTGTGCTGTAATTAATGGCGATTCTGAAAAGAAATTGCATTTGGTACTTATCGAGCTAGGGAGGAGAATGCAACCGAGGGCTATAAGGAGAGGATAAAAATCGGAGAGGAACACCGCTCCATGTCATCAGTAAAATGGAAATGTTTTGGATTCTCATGGCAAACCAAGAAGTTTGGTTTGAGGTCATTTTACCTGAAACTATACCGCCTGGCGAAAGTCAGCGGAATAACGGCAGAAACTGCGCGATAAACTCGATTTAGAATTACCCTTCTTGCTTCACTCTGATGGTGGAGGCGAGCTGAATTTCCAGTAGTCTAAGTAGAGATTAGTGAATGCTAGATGTAGTTGTATATTTTATATTTCCTATTTCAACGCAACTGCATGCTGCTAAGCAGTGCACTAAGTCTACCAGTGCAGGTCTTGGTTACTTGAAAGCAAGTTAAATCCGATGAATAAGCATGTCCAGCAGATAGTTTATAGTTATTCCAAGAATAGATTTGATTTGGATGGATACTGTTCAACGCCAATTAATATTTCCAGTTCACTTAGCATGTTTTTATTGTTCAGAGTTCAAATCAAACAGAGAAACAGTGACGTTTACTTCTTTTGATACAAATTTGGCGAATGATTTTAATACTAGTTGACTTTGTGGCTGCTTTTTTGTAATTCATAATTTAAACAAATATTATGTGGAAGAATATTTTTGAGAAAAGTAGCTGAAACTAAATGACTTTGACTTTGTCTTTGATGAAGGGACTAGTCTTAGCCTGTGAGCAGGCCGTTGTTTGGTCTCTGGCTTTGAAAGAGATTACAGGAATACAATTTATTTTTGCAACAGTTATTCAGACACCAGTGGCAATAGTCCCTAAAATATGTGTCTGAACTTTATTTCCACAGGTATCTTTCAAAAGTAGATGCCCTTTTTCTTTTACAAAATGCAAACAACTGGCTNAATAATACAATACACCCTTTAAGAGCTATAATGCCAAAAAAGAAATCAACCAAGTACAATCTGAGGAAAGAGACAAGTCACCATCCAAAAATAAACACTGATAGGTTCAAAAACACGTTTGTCAATCGCTTAATTTTTAAACATAATCTAGTCTTATAATTTTTATCTCGATTTTCTCTGTAATTTATATATATACCTTCTTTTAATGTTGTAACATAGGATATGCGATTATTTATCTTATGACTTAATAAAGATTCATTCATTCATTCATTTAATTCAATTTTAGATTTTCTGACAGGTTATTACATTTTGCATAGTAATGAATTTTTTGTCTGTTTGAATTATGTTGGTTTCATCGATTTTCTGACAGAATTCAGAAATTTTCGTCTAATCAAATTTTCGGATAATCTAAACTTTCTGTTGATTGGAATTTTCGGTTTGTGTCAGGTTTCTGGGAGCTTTTCGAATTTCCGACTAGTTTAGAATACTTCACATCTCCGATTCGTTTCTGGTGAATTTTCTGCCAGTAGTTCTAATTTTCGGACACATAATCATTCAACTTTCTGCTACAAGTTTTTCTCCAGTTGGCCTGGTGACTACGAGAAACCAGATCGAGGTAATGTTATTGTTGATCCAAGATGGCGGATAGAGTGATGGCGCTTTCTGATACTTGCGAGAGTCTTTACTTAGTATTATTCGGGAAATTGAAGGAGGAGGGCTTCACCCAAATATAGTGGACGCCTTGCACTTTAGGCTGGATTGGCTGCATGATTTAATAGCTCGTCTTATTCATTTGTATGGAATCGATGGCTCATCCTCGGTGTAAAAACCTGTGAAGCTCACGAGTGACGTGAAACAAAGACAACAAAACATTATAAACAATAACGTACAGCAAAACAATACCTCATGAAACAAAGAAAACCTCGTCAGGTTGTTACACCTAGGATGACCCGAATCGATGAACAAATTGTTAACCTAATTGGCGGTGCACGGGATTGCCTTATTGGAAGTCAAGATATTTTTGATGTTTCACCACTTGCTACTGCCTTTAGTGGGCAACGTGGACGTCCAAGATATTCAATTCCCAGAGATCAGCTTGATTTTCTGATTGGTAGATGCTTTACTGTTGTCGATATCGCAACTTTGCTAGGTATCAATGTTCGGACTGTTGAAAGACGCTTGGTCGAGTTTGGGTTGAGTGTGAGATTAACATACTCCAACACAGACAACAAAGAACTCGACCAGCTGATTTAAAACATCCTAACTATATTACCTCGATCTGGTTTTATCTCGATCTGGAGAAAAATTTGTAGCAGGAAGTTGAATGTGTCCGAAAATTAGAACTACTGGCAGAAAATTCACCTGAAACGAATCGCAGATGTGAAGTATTCTAAGCTAGTCGGAAATTCGAAAAGCTCCCCGAAACCTGACACAACCCGAAAATTCCAATCAACAGAAGTTTAGGTTATCCGAAAATTTGATTAATCGAAAATTTCTGAATTCTGTCTGAAAATTGATGAAACCAACATAAAATTCAAACAGACAAAAAATTCATTACTATGCAAAATGTGTCAGAAAATCAAAAATTGAATTATGACGGTAATCAACCACCATAGAGATGACCAAAATCGTGCAACTTTTTACTGCCTACCCCAATTTCCTGGTTAACCTTCTGAAGACATCGGTGCTATTGCTGTTGTGGAATGAAATTACTCGAAGGCTTCAATCGTCAAATACCACCATGAATACACGCAGCTAACTAAGTACATTCTTCTGAAGGAGAATCAAATTTTCCTCCTGTGAAGCTACCCGTAACAGAAATTCATTACGATCTTTGGACAGCTCGCGATTTTGATCCTCGTCACTGATTCTTTACTCTAGCCGTTGGTAGACTGGGCGCTAACTCACTTAGTTGCTAACAAACAAACGAATTCAACCAAAATGGCGGATGATGCGAAAAATTGAACCCGTATTTTATTTTTGACAGGCATTTGTATTTAATATGGCCCAGACTGATGTAACACCACGCCGACTAATTCCAGAGGAAGAGGTGTATCGCCAGGTGTTTGATGCGGAGGTAAACACGTTTCTTGTTTCAGCCCCAGTTAAATATTTTAAGCTACAATTCGACATCTCTTTGAGACTGGATGTGCATGGCTTGTTTGTTACGCTGTTCCCATTGCTTATAACCTTACATCGACGGGTTTTCTTTCACCAGTAGTTCAGTCTTCAATACAAAGCCGGCGGTGAATTTAAAGAACGAATTCGGAAGCTTACATGCGTTCATTCAAGATAGAGTTACGTTGCTGTTGTTGTATTCGTATCATTTCTGAAATTTATTTTTCATCAACTGGCCGTTTTAGGGTTTGTGGTTGTGTATGCTCCTAGAAATCCCTCATTCATTTCGAATTTTTGTACATTAAAGAATTATTGAGTAATTAAGAATTGTGGCATTATCTATGGTTAATCGGTAGATGTACGAAAATAAGTAACTACATTATAATGTTTGAGTGTTTCTGTCCCGCGCCCTACTTACGATAACGAGACACACTCCGCCAATTCCAGCATACAACCTGAGTGATTAATCATTTGCAACAGTTTTCACAAGTATATAGAAACTATGGACTGAAAAAGGAAAAGATGGGAAAGATACTGTCATTTAAACTCTGTTGAGTGTTGAGCAAAACATAGGCTCTCTTTGGTTGACCCTAGAGCTCGAGAGTGATAATGATCTTTTATCCTTGATTTCCTGGGGTGAATGACTCTACACTCCTTTAATTGCATCATTATTTAAACAAAAGTTATTTTGTATCATGCCACCTCTGCTTCTGCTGGTTTTGACTTATTCAATTCGCCACTATTTAGATACAGTGCTCACAGTTTGCGAGCACACGCTAAACTGACTTGTAATTCTTTACCTGAAAATTGTACTTAATGAACCAAGGATGTGCTCTTTAAACAGTATTTGAATTTCTGATTCACTCTATAGCCAGCCCAATTGCTTTTATTCAGTAATTAATTGGTCTGGGCATAGTTCTCCAGCCCATGTTAAATTCCTTGATGCTATTAACATGTTGAATAGCAACGATAAAATTGCTTAATTTTTGTAACAACAGAGGACTTAAGTTCTCTGCATTGTGTGAAAGTGATCCTTGCTGTAATGAATCCTATTTGTATTGTAGTGGAAATAAGCCCTGAAGAAAATTTGAGGATCACTTTCATACATTTCATACATATGATATTCATATATTCGAATACATTAATTTGTTGTATGTTGTCAACTTTCGTACTAGGTAAGCCTAGTAGAAGCATTGGAAAGTGAAAGGCTACCATCCAAACCCAGGTCTGCACCGCTGTTACCACTGGTCAGGGAATCTAGAGCCGTGACTGGTCATGGTATTCTGACAAGCCGGCAAAAACGATGGATGCAGGGCCGGCCTAATGAGAGTAGTATAGAGAATCCTGTGCATTTCAAGTGAGCTGTAGATATTATAACCACAGTCCAAATGAGAACAGACTGATCTACACCACAGGGTGTTTAGTACTAAGGCTTGGTTGACAGGAGCATTCTCTGGCAACTATGCAGAATTCTCCAGATAATTTTAGATGTCCTACTGACATGTTTTTATTCAGACTTAAGGAATAATTATTCTCTCTTCTTGGTAGTTATGCATAGTTCCACTCATTAAACTTGAACTTTTTAAGATTGGTAAATCTTTAAATTCTGGCCCCTCGTATTGTAATATCTAATCATGTTAATGACAGGTAGACCCTGTCCACCTACCATTTACGGTTTTGTTAGCCTGTAACTTGTATGATCTGTTGTGCTGTAAATCTACTTGAACAACGTATAGGTCATCATAGATAGTAATTTTGGCTCTCCCCACCATTTACGTGTATCTCATGTTAACAATCAGTTTAATAAAACTTTACACTTTCGTGATAGACCATAGGCTCTACTACCAGAAGATATATATTGTAGATGGTTGATGCACATGAAAAAGTTGATTTTTAGTGAACAATGTTTAGCAGTTGATTAAAAATAACATAGTGTAATTGATTTTAGATATACAGCTCTTGATGCTATTCAGAATACTTCCAAACGAGATAGCTTTTTTGATGCTCTTGAAGTCAGAGGGCTTCCAGATACACCAAGTAAGTAATTTTTGTTGGGAGTACTATTAATAAATCAAGTACCAAATAAATGTTGACATATGACTATTATTTCATATTGGTTTTGCAGCTTTTCTTTAATGGCAGGGTAATTAGATTGTAAAACGTAGGAATTAAAAATGTTATAAAATTGAAAATTGAAATTGTTTCAGAACATTCGGTTGTCATTTTATAGTGCCTTATTTTCTACATCTCTACATTTTTAATGGCCTCTTTCGGTCAAACAGAGGGAAGGGGGAGGTGATGCAAAGTGGGAGTCATGTGCTAGGGGAGGAGTACCAAAAAAAAAAAAAAACTGCCCTAATAGACACACCTCCGATCACCAACCAATCACAGCATAATGAAAAAGTGGTGTGAAGCACTTTGTTTACTAAGATTTAGGATGTTGACTGCAAATCAACAGAAACTCTGGACATTTATGCTGACACTAGCACTCTTATTTTTATGAAATAAAAAGGCATCTTAATAACAATTCAATCATAAATTATATTTTTCTTTGCTTTTTATCACTTTTTTTTTTCCTCTTTTGACAAATGATGTATTCAAAATCGGCTTTTTTTAATGCTTTTAATTAGTAATTCATGTTTGTTTGTCCTTAACATCGCCCGCCTAGATTAGCTCGCTATTTGCAGGTGGTGTTCATTGTAAGTAATTGTTTTGGAATTAATTGTTTTGGATTAGCAATTAGTCCACAAGTGCATTGAATATGAGATGATACATGGCCAACGAGTCCCAAGTTGGCTATAATCATCTCATGTCCAAGATATGCAAGAATAATAATTGTTTAATTAAAAATGCCCCAAAATATGGATAAAAACAAACAAAATGTTATAATGTACAAAAAACAGTTCTAGTTTACCTTGTCTTCATGCGCACGCCAGGCATATTGGCTTGGAAACCATGATTTTATATATATATATATATAAAAAAAAAAATCCCAGTAAAACTTGCACAAAAACATATGCCAACCACTGTCTTGTAGATTCTGCTCCATACCATTTTGATCTGAATGAAAATGACAATCAGGCAAATCTGATCTTGCCTTGAGAGTCTATTTATCCAGAAGCCTACCAAAATATTTAATTTTTTGTGGCAATGGAGCTATTAAGACAAAGATGGAGAACACTGAAGACTTCAACCAACATGAAGGACTAAACAATATATGTGATTATTTGACGAGGCATCATTCTCTTTCAGGAAATGATAGGTAAACATAAGTGTATGCTTTCAAATTGGGAATGGAACCTATGGGAAGGTGTTTGATTTCATAGTATTAATTGATTATTTGCAGTTATCAAATATTTTGTTGTTTTCAAATGTGTATGGGCGGGATTACGAAATTTATAATTTAGGGGAGACAACACTTAATTAGACTTAAGAGGATACATTTTTGAAAACTAGTGTGTAAGGTTCCTTATGAAGGTAACCTTGTAAATCTCAAAAATTACATGTCCAATGCAACCTTTTCTTTACAATTGTTGTTTAAGGTCAATATCCCCAATGTATTTCCTTTTGTAGTTGTCAAATGAATACATTGATCATTGCTGCATTTCCTTTGCTTATCCTTTACGTTCAACTTGTTCAGAATTCAATGAAGGGCTTATGGGAATGGCTTCGTCCATAGAACAATTTGATATCAAGTAACCCGAATTTGATGGGTCTGTTCATTTATGAATGAAAGAGCAACTTGAACAATTGTGTGGTCAGGCATTATTTTTTGGTGCTCTTCCCTTTGTGGGTGACTTGCGCTTTGGACTTTGCTGAGAAGTTGTCTCCTATAAAATGTAAAAGACTATGACTGTTCCACAGGCTTACCATAAACCTCATTGAATTCTTTGCTTTTAGAAACAGTTCAAAAGAAGACAAATATTATTGAAAGACTAGAGGCAAGCAGAAAGGAAAGGTGTGACCAGTTTGATATTGAAGTATAGTGCTATTAATGTGATATTTTATATACACAGTTATGTACATTTACCTCAGCCAGTGACTTTGAAAGTAATATCATGTAATTTTCAATTGTTTCACATTTTTATGTTAATGCTTCCACTTGGCACTAGAGTATATTCTAATATGGTACATTACATGCTTAGACCAATATCATTTAAGGAAAAATCATTGATGGATTATTAATCACATTTTTCTAAAATTTTTCTCCATTTTTTAAGACATGAATCATATTTGGAAGATATGTATCAAGAGTTTGGAGTCATCAATGCTGTAAGTAGATACACACACATGAACATGAAAACATTTTACTTATTGTAACTTTTATTTAAGAATACTTGACTTTTTCTTGCACATTGACAGTGGGTGGTTGTAATTTATAATACATGTATTTGTCATTGGGAGCAAATGATAGATTGGTTTTACATGATGTCGCTATGAAACATAGAGTTGATAAAATTGATGTGGATGGATGAACAAGATTGATGAGTATATAAGCAACTGACTGCCACATACAATCATGTAACTTACCTTTCTTGGCTACAGCAAATACTGTAAGTTATGAAAAGGTTAGCTTTTTAGGTTTAAGGCTGTGTCTGAGGAAAATTATGTTGGAATCTGTATTAGCAGTAACCAAGTAACTCTGTTGGCTCATTAGACCTTATTTTATTTCATTAATTTTGTTTGTAGGAACTGGAACCACGCATCCTTGAATCATGTGAGAATTTGAAAGAGCATTTGCTTGAAAATGATACAGGTAATGGACTTGTGTTTAATGATTTCAGGCCAAATGTTTTTGGCCACTAAAAAGAATCCAAAAATTTTTGGCATGCTTACTTGTTGTCCATTGTTCCCTTTATATTATCAATGTCTGGAGGATTGGTCTTCTGTTTGTTTCAATAATGAACTGGTGAAGCAGTGATTAATGCCTCTCTTTGAATCAGAATTAAACATTTGGCCTTTTCTCTATTTCCTGTTCCTGAGAGCAAATTGGCAATTAGAGTTGAAATAAACCCAGAAGGATTACAGGACAACAACAAAATTGATCGAATGATTATGTGCCAAAAATTGGCTCAACTTTTAAGAAACATTTATTTTCATATTGTAGTGAAAGTTAGCTGTTTTGCTGTAGGTACTTCTTTGGAAGATGGTCTTTTATTTATTGGTACCGTTATGTTTAAGGACTCTAGACCTCTAAATAGGATGTTAACTATGACTTTGCCCTTTCTTGCAGAAATTGAGCAGCTGCTGCAAACAATAAAAAGTGACGATGTAAGTACAACGTTGAATTTGTGTGAAATGAATGACAGTTTTTACATTGTTACTGCCACTTTATTGGTAAAATTTTGATGTCCACTCAGTCTGATAATCATTAATGGAAAGAAAACTAACTATTTATGGATGAAAACTGAAAAGTGAAAATTGCTGATCTGTTACAGGACCTCTTGCTTCACAACATGTCTGACCTGGGAGAACTGTGGGATTCCATTTCTGAACATTCCGTTTGTCGTCAAACATGGATTAAAGAGTTAGATGCCATTCTCGAACAGGTGGAGAACGACAGGGGTAATTTGGTGAGTATCTTATTCTCACAGAGCAGATTCACTGAGTTAGCTCGGGCCACTCCAGCTCCAGCTGGTAAGAAATTTGGCTGGAGGCATAATAGCCCTCTCCCTTAAAATTGATTAATAAGCAATTTATCATAGGACTGTTCTCTTTTTCTCTTTACTCTGGCGTTTTTTTTTTGTTTTCACGCTCGCAACGCGCAGGACAGCACGCTTCCAATCAGCCCTAACATCAACATCTACTGTACATTCCAAGACATTATGCTTAGAGAAATTTTGTAATGTTTTAACTTGGAATATCAAAGTCGGTTCCAATAATTTATTAGTTTTATTGACATTCAGTTTTTTTATTCTCCCACTCATAGATCCGCGAGACCCTTAAAAGTTATAACAAAGTTCTTGAGCGAGTGGCGCACTTGATGCCCCCTGATGTACACAGGTTACTGGAGAGAGAAGCTCAACGTGTTAACTCTACTATTCTGATGAACAGGAGAGCATATGCTGACCTCACTTCTCATTTACTGAGTGGTAAGTTGTAAAAGTGATTTAGCTCTCCTCCATAATAGCGGCTAGAAATTAAAACCGCTGAATATTGTTCAGCATCAAAATACATGGAAGCTGAGCATCCTTTGTCTGGTGATCTTGACATTTGCGATCGCGTTTATTATACGCGGTTATTATACGCGTTTATTATACGCGTTTATTATACGCGTTTATTATACGCGTTTATTATACGCGTTTATTATACGCGTTTATTATACGCGTTTATTATACGCGTTTATTATACGCGTTTATTATACGCGTTTATTATACGCGTTTATTATACGCGTTTATTATACGCGTTTATTATACGCGTTTATTATACGCGTTTATTATACGCGTTTATTATACGCGTTTATTATACGCGTTTATTATACGCGTTTATTATACGCGTTTATTATACGCGTTTATTATACGCGTTTATTATACGCGTTTATTATACGCGTTTATTATACGCGTTTATTATACGCGTTTATTATACGCGTTTATTATACGCGTTTATTATAC